AAGTGACAAAAAGTCGAGAGGGGGAGGACAGAATAATGATTCACAGATGTAAAAGAGACAGACAGGCATAAATATTGAATAAAAGGTAAGGCGAAATCTGCCGAAATGGTGGAATATGACATACAGTGGGGTCAAGGTAATTTGTAGTCAAAAGTCAACTGCCAGTTAATAGACATTTTGCCTTATGAGTATACGTTGCCCAGGGTGCACCACGTGGAGGTAAGTCTATCACACACCTCATAAGGAAATATTATAGTTCAAGGAACCAATTTTCCAATGAAGACTGAGGGGATATTGGAGGAAAATTAGATCGAGGTACAATAAGTAGTTCGAACCCTGAAATTGTCAAGATTTTCATGCTTTTCTTAATGGAAAGTTTGAATTTTAGGATTTTACCCACAAATTTATAACGGGTTCAATTTTTCCTTTTTCCATTTCAACTGACAGATTAGTTTCCTTAAGAAATTTACATCTTATGATAAATGTTTAGGCATATTTTTGCGTACTTTTTAAATAATTCTTTCCAAGCTCATTGATGAAATATTATCGTTTAAAAATATTCGGAAATTTCTAACCATTTTTTCCACAATGACACCGTTATTGATCGAAATGCCATATTATTATAATGCTTGATCAATATTTTTTAAAAATAGTTAAGATACTTTTTTTACCTTCGCTTCTTTTAATTATGTTATTTACTTGAAGGCATTAAGAGTCAATTGCCTTTAAAGAATCGAAGTAAAATATCTTCAATTCACTAGAGCAATACTCATAGCTTTCATCCCTTGTGCATTGAACAGTGAATATTTTAAAGTTGGGCATGAATATGTAAGCTCACTGCTAAAATTACGGACTAATCATACAGCTAATCAACTAGCCGTTATTTGATTCAATTTAAACAAACTCCCTTTAATGAAATAAACTGTCATTTCCTAGCAGCCCCTAATTGTCCTGTTGTCCGAGAAGACAATGTTGCTCAAAACTTTCCTTGTCATCTCATTGGCAAAGCATTTTTGTACCCCATTAATCATATTGAAATTACCGAAATTTGAAATAGTGAAGCATTTAAAGCAAAAATTAAAAAAACAAAAACACGATAAATGATTTAGTTACCTTTCAATAAAATCTGGCCAAATTTTTCGCCGGTACAATACCAAATGTGTAGATATTATCACTGGAACGCTGTCAACAAAATTTTGCCGTATTATTTCAATGCTTAAATTATGCAAGAGCCAAATCAACTCACTGCTCTCAGATGCCATAAAACAATTAAATGATGTAAAATATTCCGTGTGTATTTCATTAACACGTAAAATAATCGCTCAATTCGAAGTGTGGGGGGTCGGACACCGAGGGGGTGGGGGGAGGGGGGGAATTCGTACGTACCAGGATAAGATTGATGGACATTCTTGCGTGCAGGAAAGCATTTCACCCCGCGTCTTTATTATTAAGAAGCAGAAGTCGGCCAACGTATAATCTCCTGCCTAGAAGCTCCTTTTATTTTTTGAAATATTTCATATTTTTTCTTAAATTTTTAACTGTGCTGATGAGAGTAACGGGAAACAAACTAAGTTTGGAATAAATGAAGTCGATGGAGGTTGATGAAGGCATCGCGACATATCGATGTGTCAATGCAGTTGGAGTGTTTTAATTTTGATTAAACGCCGTGGAATACATCTTTAGATTTTTTCCAGTTATCAAAGTAACTTGGCAGGACTTTTAAGATGCCGAAATAGAGTCAAAGTCATGCTAGATCGCCGAAAGACTTTATTTTATTCGAGTTTTAATTAAATTTATAATAGGTGTGAATATTTTTTTATAAAGAATTTTTTTGCAAAGCTGAATTAAACGATGGGATGAAGACTATCTGGCGAAGAAGTGAATAAATGTTTAAAGCGATTTATTGTAATGAAAGGGATACGTTCTAATCCAATTGTGTAGGTAGATAAGTACGAATTAAATGATCTGTATGCATTCGAAAGTGTTTCGCCTACATCTCAGTGGTCAGTTGTTGAAGTGGAAATTGTCTGCTGAAAGGTATTTGATATTTTGCTGATTCATAACTTCATTTGGAAATTTCAGATGAAATATTTAAATAATTAATAATTTAATTAGCTGGTTAATTAAAATTTAATAAATAGAATTATTTTAAAAATTTTAAAATAATAAGGTCATGCGTCATTGCACAACTTACGACCGTTCCAAATTTATATTTCTAATTTCACTTTAAAGTTAAATTAGATATCAGTAGAAAATGAGGAGATACTTTTTTATGTTTTCAGTAAACTCAGATATCAAGAGACTTGCATAATTCGATTTTAAATCTAATCAGTACACTATCTATTTAATGCATCACTTAGCTAATTCTTATTCACGTTGTCTGGTTATTATTTGGTGGTAATTAGCTCAACCATTCAAAGATTACTTCTTGCAGGGGTGGTGATAATGAAGCCAAGTGTCATATTAAAACACTCAAACAAATGGAACTTACCTCTTAACCATTTCGTAGAACCTTATAGTTGTGTGCCACTTAATAGAATTCTTCATGTCACTACTAACAGCATCTTCCTTCCCTCTAAGCAATTGAAAAGAAATGCGCAGAAGAAAAATGAGACGAGAAGTGCGCGAAAATTGAACGGTAACAGCGAGAATGAAATACTCGAGGAGACGCGCTTTGAGGCACTTTTGCATCCATACACAGAGATACGTGGAATGACATTAAATGGAAGTGAGCCCTCTGCTGTCGCACGACTCATGAGCTTGCAGAATGTGGAGCAAAATTTTCTGTCAATCATAATCTCTCGCCCCGCCTTTGACATAATTCGAACGGAGGAAAAAGCTGTAGTCACTCTGACATCCCTCTTCAGTCAAATCGGCGGTTTGTTGAGTATTTGGGTCGGTATTACTATGATATGTATCGTGGAGGTTGCGGAATTTCTACTCAATTGTTTCGACGTTCTTTGCGCACGAAAATCTTGACTACTTTTCCCAAATTTTCTTTTTTTCACCACTACTTACACCACTGTTTATTCTTGCTTTAACCAACCAAATATTAAAACTTTCTATTTTTTCTTAACTTTATTCCTTTTGTCAGTGGAAATTAAATTTTTATGTAATAAAACAATGTTTGTGTTAAGTCAATTCTTTTGCTTTTATTAATATTATTATTATTTCATATGGAAGGATTTATGATATTTATCAGTAACTCCTTAGTTGACTTCGGCTTTCACGGGGGGGGGATATATTGAGGCTTCAGGACAGTTAACAGTAGTTCATTAGTTGACTTCTGGCTTTCCAGTATCTCTGGGTTTTTGTCTTTGTCTTTAGAGCTGGACAACGAATCAGGTGGGCCTTCTCCATTTCCTCCTGTAGGTCGAATCAGATGGGTCTTCTCCATTTCCTCCTGTAGGTTTCACATCAGGTGGGTCTTCTCCATTTCCTCCTGTAGGTTACAGATCAGATGGGTCTTCTCCATTTCCTCATGTAGGTTACATATGGTGGGTCTTCTCCGTTTCCTCCTGTAGGTCACATAGACAGGTGGGACTTCTCCATTTCCTCCTGTAGGTTACATAGAGTATGTGGGTTGAGTGTATACTCTCAATCTGTGAAGGTGTTTTGATTGTATACTCCTAATCTGTGAAGGTGCTTCGCCAGATTTCCTCCTGTAGGTTACATAGAGGGCATGTGGGTTGATCGCTAGACACCGAATCAGGTGGGTCTTCTCCATTTCCTCCTTTGAACACCGAATCAGGTGGGTCTTCTCCATTTTCTCCTGTAGAGAATCAGATGGGTCTTCTCCATTTCCTCCTGTAGGTTTCACATCAGGTGGGTCTTCTCCATTTCCTCCTGTAGGTTACAGATCAGATGGGTCTTCTCCATTTCCTCATGTAGGTTACATATGGTGGGTCTTCTCCGTTTCCTCCTGTAGGTCACATAGAGATATGTGGGTTGAGTGTATACTCCCAATCTGTGAAGGTGCTTTACCAGGCAATCATG